CAATGTGCTCTTCATTTCACTTTAATTGTCTTTAATTTTTTTGAGAGAGAGATCAATTTTTCAATCCTTATTATGTCAACATTTCAGGTAATTAATGATATCAAATGCAACAAATATTCCTTTCAGATTGAAAAGCAATGAAAAATTGGACAATTTATTTTTTGTTATCTTCTGATTCAAATTATTAAAGAATTGCAATGAAATGCTTAAGCGTGAAGTTTCCTTTTTTAAACAAAAATATTATTTGCAAAAAAAGATGTTAAATCTCATAGAAGAAATAATTACTATGCTAATTTTGATAATTAATAATTTCCCCATTTTCAGGAATATCAAATCTAAAATAATAATTTTTAAAATTTATCACCACCATCAAGATCATTCCAGTAACATGAAAGCAATCCTAATATCTTTCTCATCATCAAATAAGCTTTATTTTTAATGAACTTAAAACGTAGATTAAGAATTGAATGAATGACAATGAATTATTCAAATTAGTTTAATTTTGAATTTTATATTTTCCAATTGAAAGAAAAAAATTCAATTCATCAATTTTAATAATTTTAAAAATAAAGGAAAAACATCATCGGATATTAAAACAAATCATTGAAATAAGAAATTAATACAATGTTAATGAGAAATTAATTAATAAAAGATTGGAAAAACAATGAAATTAAAAAAAAAAGTATTAAAATGATTTAATTCAAAACTTTGTGGAACGAAAAGTCTTTTAAAATTCTATCCATTGTTTATACTAATGCTAATTTATGGATAACTTTGATGTGTAACTCTAAATGTTTTAAACGACTGAAGATTGGACGTTATACCAATTGTTTTCGAAAAATTTTTAAATGCTTAAAATTATTTTCATTAATATTTTTAAAACAATAAAAATTATTAGAGCTAAATTTGTTTTTTGTTTTTTCATTAATTTTGTAGCAAAAAGGTAACTGAAACATTCATTTCAACTTCTTTTATTATTATTAGTACTAAATTTCTTCTGAACAAAAATCTTTTTTTTCTTTATACAACAATTTTTGATACTAATTTTGAAACAATTCATACTATTATATTAGACAATAAACTACATCACTTTATTCGATGATAAGCAAAAATGAAAAAGCTTTGTAGTTAAAATGAATTTAAATTAGAATGAGAAAATGATGCAATTCGAATAGATGAAGGTCATTTCGAGTATTTTACTCATCATCTCAATTCATATATATATATATATATACATATCTATTTTTTGAATCATTATTTTATCACTCTGATAGATGGTATTTGAGCAGTTTTGTACAACAAATGATCGCTCCAATTGGCCTTATTTTAAACTTGTCGTTGTCCATCTTATAGATGCACTTGAAATTAGCCAAGAAATTTAACTCTGCTAAAACTTCATATTTTATCTAATGGATGATCGATACACAATAATCACCCAAACTCTTCTACCTATTTTATCAATCTGAGGATTTGTGTAAGCGTACCTATCTTATCAAATCTAAAGATTTATTCAGGCATGTAACAACAGATAAGTTGTAATCGGTGACAATTGTGGAATAGTTGACTGCCCCCATTTCCGAATTCTTTTTCTTTTCTTATATATCATAATTAAACTGACTAGTAGTGCAACGATGATGAAATTATTGTCTTCTTCTTCACTCATTCTCACAATAATCATTCAAAATTTTCTGCAGTCTTTTTCAGAAAAGATTATAATGACAAATGAGAATTACCATTGTATGTTTGATATCTGTCATTTGTTTAATACTAAAATATATTGGTACCATTTTTTTCGAACAAAAATTTTAATTTTTTCGCATTTTTTAATATTTTTTTATAATCATTAAATATTTAAGGAACATTCGGCCAGTTTTTTTCATTGTAATTTATGCTTAACTTTCTTATTACTGTAATTTCTTCCGAATTTTAGACTATGAATGTTACATTCTAATTTTCAATTAAATTTCTTAATTTCCTAAATTTCATTTGATTTAATTATTGCAATAATCATTGTTGATTAAATATAAACAGTGACAAGAATTATTATCATCATATGATAATGCATAGTATATGACATTTAAATATACGGTAATTAAGTGGTTTAATACGATAAATCAGATTAGAATAATTCAGCAAATCATTAAAATAATTTGAAAGTAATTGTGGTAATTTATTAGTTGGTTGCAAGAAGGAAAATTTCCTATTCAATCCATTATATTTTTTATTTCATTTTATTATAACAAATCCTATGGTCTTTTTCTTATTCACTTCAAAATTAAAAATAAATATAGGATATGAGTAAACAAAGTGTCGCAGATGTCGCATTTCATTCAATCTTTCCATCGTGCAATTTGATCATTTGTAAATTTACCAAATGACAGCTGTCCTTTAGCAATCAATTTTTTTTCTGTTTACATATTATTTAACCGATAAATACAGAACGAAAATTCAATATAAGCATATTAATATTTGAATAGAAATGAGTGAGAAGGAAGGAAATAAGCCTAAGCATGACAAATGCTTGTTATTCTTTTGATTCGATTTTTAGAAGCTATTTTGGCCAAGAGTACATGCATTAATGGTAACATTAGGTTAGAGTAACCCGAAGCTAAGAGTAATAGTAAATTCTGAGAAGTCATTTTGTTATCATCCTTTTTTGACAGATAAGGAAAAAAATGAGGATAGAATAAGGAAGAATGTTAAGATGAGTAAAAAAGAGTCCTTAATTTGAAGAGATCGAAAGGGGAACAAATAAATCTATGCTAGCTAATGTCAACATAATCAATCAGAAATGGTTGTTAGGATTCATTAAATGCAGAAAAATATTGAGAAAGAAAAGGAGATATGTAAGATACAAATTTGGCAATTTATTGGTGGTATCTTTCAATATCATCAACTCACAAGCCTGACAAGGTCAATTGTTCAATACTTTGTTTTCGTCTTTAAAGTTGATTAATGTTTAAAATGGTTAGAAGTTGTGAATTTTTCCACTTTTGCTATCTTTTTCTTTCACATTTTCCTATTAGAAATACTTTAATTGTACTAATTATACCTGTCAGATTTAAGTTAATCATTAGAGAAGTATTGAAAATGAAGGTGATTGAAATGGTGATCTTAATTAATATAAAAATGAGGGAGAAATGTGAATTTGTCCGCCTAAATTTTTAAATGTAATACATGAAGTGATAAGTACTGCTGAGAACTGATAAGCAATATCCGGTATTCCAATCAGATAGATATATTATCATTTCATATAATTATATATTAAATAAACTTCACTTATTGAATGCTTGCTATTATTTCGTTCCTTTGTTGAAAACAAGAAATGAAATTTAGCCCATTGACAAAAAAAGAATTTAAATATAAATGAAAACAAAAAGTGATTAGCAATTCTGTGACATTTTTCAAAGAAAATTACTTTATAAATTTTGGAGCAATTGGAAGCATACTTTCTTTCACTCAGTTCATTTTCCATTAATATTATAATCACTAAATATAATTCATAATATATTGCAAATATGTTTTTCATTTCTTTTTTTTATAAGTTACATTTATACCGCGAAAGCAAATTTGTGAGAGAGGTAGATAGAAATATCGGGAAATTCAACAGTTAATAGGTTGTCAAATGTATGTCTAAGTTTCTCCATAAATCTCTAATTTCGATATTAAATGCAACGGTTACGATTGCATCAACTTCACTTCAATAATTCTACAACTTCATCTTATTGCAATAGCATTGTTTGTTGCATTTAGCATAAAATTGAAGTTAATTTGGCTTAACTGTGAATTATTTTTACTGATGAGGTAACTAATATTGGTTGTCCTCAACAATGATGCCAAATGTTAATATACCGTCTACCATATATTAACATTTAATTAAACAGATTGGATATGCTAAAAAATTTTTATCTTTTGATTCTCTCAGTCGAATATCATGTTGATAGTCATATGAGCTGGGTGATTGGTATTCCGGATTGGAAGCGTTTGCTTGATTGGTTCTGATGTAAACCAAATACGTTACAAAACCAATTACGTGATGTAACTGTATTCACTTTTGTGGATAATAAATAATGGCACAGAAACGTCTCGTAACCATCCTTGAGGAAATATCCATTCTATGGCAATGTACAAAACTTTTCACACTGAAAGATTAAAGCATAAATCATTTAGCCTTTCAGAAGCGGCACAATTTTTACTTCCGGTAAATCTATTTTTAAGAGATTTAACAAGAACTTGTCAATTATACTTTCAATACTTGCTCAAATAATAATTGTGACTAACAATTCAACTGCTACATAATTACATAGTATTAGCTTTTGATTTAAATGATCTGTACATTCCATTTTCTTCAGTCCCCTTTTCAGGACTAAATTCCGAATATTTTGGGAAAAGAGAATGACGAGACCTATGTAGCATAATCAGGATAAAGGAAGAGGCTTTCCTGCTTTCCTGGTTATGACCATTATGTTGGATTAGACAGATAGTGCGATGCGGTCATTCCGGTTTAAAAAAAATAGTTTGAAATTAACGTTCAGTGCGAGGTTCTACAATTTCATCCTAAAATAGCTGTCATAAAGTTTGAAAATGATATCGTGGTAATTTGAAAGGGGGACGGAATGAATGGCTGATTTAATTGACGATAGTACAAAACCTATTTTCAAATGTCTGCCCTGTTCCAAAACCACATTAATTGAAGGGATTTTAAGATTCTTCAAGCATACTTGACCCAACAATTATAGCTCCTGGTACTTTGAACAAAGTATTACTACAAGTATTACTTTTTCCTACAAGGAATATCGGTCATTAAGCAGTGATCGGTATTCCTTGTACAGAAAATTTTACAAATTAAGATAAACACTATTGAAGTCTTATTCAACCTCTTTCTTTTCCTTCCCCTCCTCTTTCTGGTTTCTATTCAAGCGATTGCCTTCCATATTTAGCCACTTTTTTTGCAAAAAATTAGGTAAGCCAAGTAGATCATAAAAAAAACAATTGCTATATTAACGTCGGTATGATCGTTGATGTGGACGAGTTTCACGACTTCTTGATCGTTGATGTGCACGAGTTTCACGACTTCTTGATCGTTGATGTGCACGAGTTTCACGACTTCTTGATCGTTGATGTGCACGAGTTTCACGACTTCTTGATCGTCGATGTGCACGAGTTTCACGACTTCTTGATCGTTGATGTGCACGAGTTTCACGGCTTTTTGAACGTTGGTGTAGATGTGTTTTACGGGTTATTGGTCGTTCATGCCGATAAGATCGTGCGTGCTTTCTGTGTTCTGGCGAGCTAAATTACTTTTATATAAACAGCTCACGTAAACAAATAATGGAAGAATGAAAGACTTCTCTTTCATTAAATGTGAAATGAAAGACTTTTAGCAAAATCCAAACCTTGAGGGTCTTTTTGAACGTTGCTTTATCCTTTCATCAGACTGGATTTTCTTCTCTTCCTCACTACGTTTCTCCAACTTTAGCTGCTTAGGTTCGAAGTCCAGCTTCTAAAAAACAGCCAAACATTGATATTATAATCCCCAGCTAATTTCATTCCTTGACACATTATATCATATGGTAAATTAACAACTTACTGCAGATACAATCGAAAAGTTTCCTAATGACCGAGGTCATGAAAGAAGACCAGATAATAAAAATCAAAATCTTTCAGTTATACCGAGTGCAAGTGCATTTCGTAAGTCTAGTGCTTTGGCACTTATATAATATGAAAAGTAAGAAAAATGAAATAAAATCTTGAGATAAGTTCCTCAATCCCACATATTTTTCTTACTACGTAGTCAATATGGCACCTTCCCTGAACTTTTTGACTTGCTTTTCATTTCACAGTACAGTAATTCTTTTACATTTTCTTAGAGGCTGAAAAAATATTTCAACCTGCAAGACTAACCTCTGCAACATCCGATTTGTACGCTCGTTTTTCCAACCCTGAAAGGAAAACAGTGATAAGAATTGTATTGATCGTTGAGGTGAAGTTTTTAAGAGTGCAACTCTTGACAGCTGAATATTTTCCATACTATATTCCATCATATAGATTTTTAAGAATTTAAGCAAGGATTCACATGGTATAAATTATATACCACCTTTTATATCACTTTTTATGCCAAGCTTACATTGCGCCTTAACTGTAACATTTACATCATTCAAAAAGTAGCGGTTATAAATAAAAGTTGAAAATCTGAAAAATGAACTAATAATGGATTTGTGAGTCTAATCTAGAGATGACATTAGGTTAAACAAGTGAGACTGAACTTTACAACATCAAGATATTCTGGTAGCTTCTAAACTAAAAAACATTTCCACTCATTAGTTAGAAAACATCGCGCAACCCAAATAGCGAAAGCTTCAGATATAGGTTACTACTTGTCAATGACGGGTAAATCAGAGTATAATTGTATTACTGATTGCCGTAGCATAAACTGTACTCATAAAATTATGTCTCGATGTTTACCATATATATACATATATAATCTTGAGTCATAATGGTTCTTCCGGAAATACCAATGTATAGATGTGTTAGTGCTAAATCACAGAGATACATAAATTGATTCTGATATATCTTTTAATCCTAAAAATTCAACTTTTGAAAATGTCTTCGTATCTAATAATTTCTTAAATATAACGAGATTTTTCATTTTGCGCAGCTTATTACTACTTCTAATGCCTCGAATATGGATTAAAAACAGAAAAGAATTACGCTTCTTTGATTGTGCTCAAATAATAGGTTTCTTATACAGCGATTTACAGATACAACAATACTGAAAAGTGTATAATGAAATCCAGAATCGCCTGTGCCGTATTAATTATTACTGGATTGACGGAAAATATTGGTCAAGTGTACAAAGGAAAAAAGTGGGTACCGCCCAGGATGAATCCAGATCTATTTCCAGTAAGTTAGAACCAGAAGAATGTATGATTCCATCTTGACTGAGCACAATGCAGATACAGCCACAAATTGCCATTTCTTACTGGAAAAAAAACTTGGATGCTTTTTTAAAAATTGAAAATAAGCTATTCATCACGTGAAAAATTATGGAGATTGGAAGATCTAGACTTAGGTAACTTAAAAAATTCAATTTGAAAATTTTTTGAACAGTAAATTTGAATCAACGCTAACCGCTGCTTACTATAGGATCCTGAATTCGATTCATCATCTCCAGAATGCATACCGTACCGTGAACCTTGCGGTTTCTATAGTTTCACCATTAACGGTTATCCACCGTTAAAATGGGTCAAATCTTGGTTAGTTTGTCGTTTTTCACGATAAAATAAAATCTATTCATAATGGTTTGCATCTATTATTGAATTTGTTCAGTAAATAAATGCTTAAATAAATTGAATAATAAATTTTCTAGATTCCGCTTCTCCTCTTCCCATCCTTACGGCCCCCCATTTCATGTGCTTATCAATCATTCAATGAATTCTAAACAATTGCGCAATCAAACTTTCATTTCCTATTGCAACATTAGTTTAAGGGTACAATAAAAGCAAAAACCAAGTCCATCAAATGAGTAAGAGACTCTTTCGGCTATACTCTTAGTACATCAACTCCTCCTAACGTTAAATTTCAAATTTTGCTTATTTTTAAAAGTGTAAAAACAAAAATCCGGAAAAAAAAACCTATCCAGGAATTCAATGGAGTATATGATTGCAAAAAAAGGAACCTGCAGAACCTGTTAGATTGTCTTATTCCAACAATTAATTAGTCGGTATCTGTATCACCCATGTAACATTCTGAGAATAATAAAAAAACTTAATTTTTATGATTCAAAAAATTTCCAGGTGCAAATGCGATAAAGATCACGTATGTACGTATGAACGAACGGACATGAAAATGCGTATTTATCGACATTCTTGTACTCCAAAAAATTCCAAAGAATACGATTAAATTTGCTGATTTCTTTCTTGATTCATTTCCTAACGAATGATTTAGTTGTTGAGCGTGTGTATGTTATGTTGTGTATGTCGGAAAACAACCTTTTTTCACTAAATTGAATTTCAAACATCAATTTTTAAATGAAAACTAAAATTTTAACACATACTCAGCATATTTTTTACTTTTCTTTTACAAAAGAAAAAGTGAAGTAGAAAAAGCGCTGCATAATGCAGCAACATTCACTTTCGTATAAGTTACAGAGAAACATATTGACGAAAGAAAAGGATATCTTTGGTTGTGTAATTATTCTTTTTTTAATTTATGACCAATTTTTTCTTGTAAAAATAAGTGAATCCGATAAAAAAGCATTGGATGTCGGACTTCTCTCATTCTCCTCCCTCCTCAACAAGTATGAGAGAATCCTGGAGCAAAATAAAGGAAGAGAGAATAATGGCAAAAGATTTTCAATTACAGCGTGTCCGATTTCATTTCTGATTGGTTTGTGGATTTCCCAAAAATGAAAGGAATGTGCATTAACTCTTTTAGCGTTTCAAAATTTTTTTGGCAAAAATAGCTTCTCTTGAAGTAGAAATGAAAACCCTTTATATAACGAAATACCTTTAAAGTGCCCTACTTCTCGCATAAATGAAAAAAAATCATAAATAAACAATTTAGACATGTCAAGATAAAAATTTCATGTTCCTTTCCTGATTACTTTTCATGTTTTTTAAAAATTTGATCTGTAATTTTTATCTATAAATCATATTGTCAATAATTGTATATTGAAATGATTAACTCATTTCCAAAGGTCTGCTTCTGCATTGAATTTCTTGACATCTATTTTTCAATTATTTTTAGTATTGATCTCATGCTATTAGTCGTGTGCAGAAGTTAGATAAACATGTTTTTTGGTACTTAAATCTGATTTACGATGAGAAAACTATGGAAACATACACCTTAAAACTAATCGTTTTTTTTGAGAAATGTACCTTCAAATATTTGAGTCATATTTGAGATGGAATATAAAATTAACATGAGATTTATGTCCTATTTCTTACGTCTTGAATTTCACTTCAACTAAGTAATCATAAAGTTTATAAGTAACGCAAACTACTTACCGTCCTTCCTTTTCCACTGATAATTTTTGGCAACAGATTGAGAAAAATCAACATGAATTCGTCTATCATCAATTAATACGTTATCCATTTTGAAGTAAGCGTTCTCACAACTTTGAACCTACAAAGCAAAAATGAACAAGAAAAAATCAATTCACTAATTATTGAATTTGTAGATCTTGCATTCTCATGTACCCATTAAAAAAACCACTACATTAGTGTTAAGCTCTAAATCTGGGCAATCCACACTACAAATTTTGGTTATGCGTTAATTCTAATATTTCACCTCTTCAAATTCGATGAATGCATACTGCAACGAAGCATGCGTCTTCCTATCACGAATGATTTCACAACATTTTATTTTTCCAAATCGAGAAAAAATAATTTCGAGATCCTGGAAATGAAAAAAAAATTGAACGTGACAAAAAGCCGTCTAATCGTAGAAAAAAAAAATTATAGAATTACTACTTACTTCATCCGTGGTAACTGGGTTCAATTTGCACACGAACAAAACATTATCAGGCGGTTTCTCGTCTGCATAATGCAAATCGCCTACCTGAATTTAAAAGTAAGACTTACTTGTCACATAATAAAATGATTGTTTTGTGACTTGAATATCATTAAAAATGTCTAATCATTCCATGCGAGGTAGTTAAAACATCTCACTGGCTAAAGTTGTTGTACCTTTAATCTTTTCGCTTAACTTTCAGTTAGAATTCGATGACCGACTGGAATATCTCCGTTCTTTTAGTCAAATAAAACCTAAATGATTAACTAGACAGAATGAAAACTTCGGAAAAAAACTGACAACGGATGCATACCATTTCTAAAATTTGTGCCTGCGCAGCCATATCTTTAGCTTCAATTTCTTTCTGTATTTCTTCTTCTGTTTTACCTTCTTCCTCATTCAGTGACTGATCCAAAGCAATTTGAGAAACCTTTAATTCAGAGTGCACATAAAATTATCGAAACTCTCCATTCAGTGCAACACATCTTCTGGTACTTACATAGTCATATGCAAACATCGCTCATTGCATCAACTTTTTAACAAAAGTGATATTCATTATTTAGTTCACTACTACTTCATTAGACCTCCAATATTCTTCATAAAAATAGAAAGAAAGCATTAAACACTCTAAGTTTATCAAAAATCAAAAAAGCTGAAGGCATTAAGTAAAACAGAAAAATTTTTTAAAACATAAATAACTTACATTTAAGAGGTCTATTGTCGGTGATGGCGATCTGCTCGGAAAGCGCAATTGTTTAGGATCATCAAAAGGATCATCCAATATAACAGTATGAGCTATGCTGTAACACAAGACACACCCAAAAATTTTGAGGAACAAAATGTTGTTTGAAGAGGAGAGGAAATAAAATAATTTTTATAAAATCAAAGGAAAACAAAGAAAAGAGCCAACTCACCGAATGTCTCGAAATGGCCTATTTTGTTCATCGCAAATCTCTTGATTCAACTTTTCTAACGTATCTAATCCTTCAGTTACTTGTCCAAAAATAGTATGCTTCTCATCCAAATAATCTAAATTGTCACCTAAAATGAGCAATAATTATCCAGCAGCATGATCAACAAGTATCAACAAAATTGCAAAAGTAGTTATATACTATCATGACATTGGAGTTCTGATATTAACAAAAAACCGCAGTACCTAAAGTGATGAAAAACTGACTGCCAAGCATGTCAGCACCATTATTAACCATCGATACAATACCAATTCTAGTATGGCGCAATTTTGGAACAAGTTCTGGTTCAAAATAACGTGCTTGATCACCATATAAAGAACTGAAAACAAATGTCATAGATTGCAACGAGAACAAAATTTAAAAGCACGAAATAATATTGAAACTTACGCAAATATTGATTCTCCACCGCTGCCCGTACTAGTTGGGTCACCCGATTGAACGATATAATTTTGCTGCAAAGTATAAAATTAAAATAATAGAGTTGACGCAGTTTAATGAATAAATTTATGAAATATATTTCAATAAAACAATGTATTCAGATAGGAGATTATACTCCTGCACAAAAATACAGGACTTTTCATAAACTGATCGACCGAGTAATATGCAATTGCATGATCAATCAGGAATATGCAAAAAAAATGTGAATAAAAAATGAATATAATATGGAATATTTTCGATTTTCAAAAAAAATCGTGAATATTTAATTATAAGTAAGTACAACTATGAAGATACCTCGATCGCATAAAACTGGCAAAAATTGTAATATTTCAATTTACACAACTTCAGAAAGTTGAAACAACCTGAAAAACGAATAAAACTCTCGTATTTATAATGATTTTTTTCATAAAAATTGATAAATTTCATTGCCACTAGCTGGACAAAAACGACGACATGTCTGAACTGAGGATATAAACACGAATATCAATATAAATTCTAAATTTGTATATAACTTTAGGTTCATTGAAACTTGTTAGAATGGTTAGAAGCAGCACAGGACTGACGCTGTCTTGCAACACAATGCCATTTTTTTCCTAACTAAAATATCAGAGCTATTTAGAGAGTACCACTGCT